ATAATAATAATAATAATAATAATAATAATAATAATAATAATAATAATAATAATAATAATAATATTGGAGAAGTTTTTATTGTCACCATCAAGATGAGTATGATGATGATGATGATGCATACTTATTCAGGTGTTATTATGAAGTTATGCCTATGATTCAATAAAAATTAGGGAGATGATTTTATAAAATTATCAAAAAATGTATTTAATTATTAACTAGCTACTAAATTTCAACAGCAAAATTAGAACGTGTATAGAAATGATCAAAGTACAGAGAAATTACAGTAAATATTTATTTTTCACTATATTAATTTACGCAAAGGGTAATAATAGTGCTATTTCATGTTAGTGTATACAGCTAGCTTTTATTAGTGGTTTAAATTGAACACCTTGCATTTTCCCATGAAATTTGGAATCACATTAATGGATTTAAAAAATTGCTTACCGTTTACATTTCATTTCCAAGGTTTGCAAATTGGGAGCATTTTCCACAAGTGATTTTAAAAAACAATCTGCATTTGTTGTTTTTCCCAAATGTGACTGACGTGCTGATTTTTTCTGGCTTGTTTCCCCTTCATGAGAAATCGAATCAGAACTGCAACCTATAAAAACAGAAAATATTCATTAATATCAATATGAATCCACAGATTTTGTTAAAGAACTTAAGCTTTGGCACAAAAGCTTGAGTTGTACAAGCCCATTGTGCATTTGAATTAGAAGTTTGAAATTTGGAACAGTTCCTTTTATATCACCACAGGGAAACAGCACGCCACTAAATTCCATTAAAGATAGATAATTCGGATAAGTTGTTACATCAGTCCTCAGTCTCAACAGGTGCTAAAATTTAATGAACTTCAACATTGGTTCAATTCAATATTGATACAATTACACTTAAAAGATTACTATTTCACATCAACTCTTACTAAATATTTTACCTGTCAAATTTAATACTGACAACAGAAACCAGTTTTACTTGAAACTATTGGAAAAACTGATGGGGAAGCACTGCACAATTCAAATGGAAGAAAACAGTACAATGTAAGAAAATTCAGGAAAAAGATTCCAGAAATGAAATGAACCTCTCTCAGAAAACCGCCTCATCATTAAGTGGACTTTTTAATATTTCTATGACTAGTTGTTTCTGAGAACTCTGAAATATTTTAATAAAACATACATTTTCCCAAAAATTAATTTCACATCATAAAATTTAGTGTTAATTTTATTTTGATTTTGTTATACTCAAGGTAAATAAACATATCAAGAGACTATTGGCCTAAAAAACACGAAATTGTTGAGACCACTCAGTATTCAATAACATTTAATTTATGTAACTAGTGGTGCTACAGAAAGACTTTCCCATATTAGTTTTCTATTTCCTGTGGTCTCGGACTTGCCACATACTGTTGCCGCTAGTGTTGCCAGCTATCACTGCCCAAAGTACATTCTTTTGACATTTTCTTAAATTTTGGGTATCATAATAGTAGAATGGAAATATTATTTTAAGTTAATTAAAAAACAGGATTTGTACTAAATGGCCATTTTTTATTTTTTTTTGAAAAATTTGGAGCCATTTAAGTGTTTCTGAAAATGCTACATTTGAATCTCTTTTCACAGAAAAATTATATTTGAAAATCTTCATTGAAAGTCATTTGAAGCACATTAACGCACAAATACAAGAGTGTTTACAAATTGCTGGAATTGTGAATATTAATGTGCATAATAATTAAATTATCTTCTTCCCAATACAACACATACAGTTTTTACTGTTTTTGACTAAATAAATCAAAATGATCTGAGAAATCTTTTAAAGAAAATTACACTTGTGTAATTTAAGGGTGAAAAATACCTCAAAATGAACTTCACCCCATACTAACGAGTGCAATTTGTACTATTCATTACAAAAGTTTCAAGAAAACATTTGGAGTAATTTATGAGAAAATAGCGTTTGAGAGTTTCTGAAAATGCAGAATTTCGAGCTAATTCTCACAGAAAACGGTTGAGTTTTCGAGAAACTGTTTATAACATTATTTAAAGCTCATGTACTCATTAATATAATAATGTTCAGAAAACAATGCTAATGCAAATATTACAATGCGAGGGTAGTCAAAAATATTAAGTTTGATTAAGATTAATCCACTTTTTCATTATTAGGGCCTAGCATTTTTTTGTGCTGAAAATACGCTTTTTTTTTTTTAAAGCATTATATAACTTTCCCTATACTACATATATTTCTTCATATACACGTACGTACATACACAAATGGATGTTGGTTTATAGAAGTGCAGTGATCTCTGACACTGTGTGACTGATCATGAGAGTTGGCACATCTATGTGTTTTTTCACCCAGAAAGTTAATGTGCTGTTAATTTTGTTGTAACTCCACTAGATGGCTCTGCATAATAAATTTCGCTTATTTTCATTCAACTTCCATTCAATAGACTGAGAGACTGAGAAAAGAAGGAGCAGGGACAGAGAGACAAAGACAGACAGGGAAGGGAGAGAGACAGAAAGAAAGAGACGGTGAGGTCAGAAAGAAAGAGATAGTCAGACAGTCTGAATCGGGGAGAGGGGGAGAGAGGGAGAGAGGGAGAGAGGGAGAGAGAGAGAGAGAGAGAGAGAGAACGCGCGAGAGAGAGAGCGCGCGCGAGAGAGAGAGAGAACGCGCGAGAGAGAGAGCGCGCGCGCGAGAGAGAGAGAGAGAGAGCGTGCGCGCGCGCGAGAGAGAGAGGGCGAGATTGCGCAAGAGAGAGAGAGCGAGAGCGAGAGAGAGCGAGTGAGAGCGAGTGAGAGCGAGAGAGCGAGTGAGAGCGAGAGAGCGAGCGAGAGAGAGCGAGTGAGAGCGAGAGAGCGAGCGAGTGAGAGCGAGAGAGATAAAGGGCAAATCACTGTCTGCTGGGTTCCTTTAGTAAAGTTTAAAATTGTTAAATAGTGAGTTTTGTAGTCTGTAAATAGTGAGTAGGGGAAAAATTAAAGTTACTCTACGATTTACACAAAAATCTCAATTATTGAATACTTACAAAAAAAAAACATTAATTACTCGAAAAAATTGTTTTTATAACTTCATTTATGTCTTACAACATCAAACCCATTCAATAACAAAAGTATTCCAGAATTCAAAATTTTTTATTATACACAAAATAATTATACAAGAAAGCTATCCAGAAATCCACTTTTTCAGAAATTGAGAATAACTAAGTCAACTTTGCAGAATCATGGATTTCTTATAACTTCATGAAAATAATTTTATGGTAATAAAAACTGAAGTAAATTAAACCAGCAATCTTCAAATTAAGGTTCTCTAAATGAAAATTTTCAAAAATACCCATTATAGAAACACAATTGCTACTTCCCACCATGAAGTGGCACTATTATCATGTACATACAATATAATAATGTACCACTTTATACATTGTTAATCCTGTGTAATTACTGAAAAAGATAATAGCTTTCTGCATAAATAATTTAAAGATAGAGTTATCTTATAATCCAAAACTCAAAACTTATACAAAGCAAAATTTACAGGTTACCAAGCACAAACTTCTCCTTTCTTTCATAGGTTCCCCTGGCGATACGTAAGCACTTCACATGAATGCACTGCCCTCACCCATAGTTACTTCTTTTTCCCTTCTCTGAGCATGCAATCCTGTTCACTAGTCCAATACTTCTATCTTAATGCCACAAACAATTTCTCGCTACAGCTGCATTGACTATTTTCTCTACGTTCCTATTTCAGTTCTCAAAAAGTTATAATTCTTACAAGATTATACACAAAAAATTAACTTAATAATACAATTTTTGTGAGAATAGTGAGTTGTGGCAGAAAAAAAAAGTAAAATGAAGGTAGCATGAAAATAGTGAGTTGTGTCCGAAACAGGTGAGAAAAGTAAAGGTAGCAAGAAAATAGTGACTTGCTGACAGACCTCCCAGAAAATTGAAGCAAATCAAACCACACTTTCACATCCAAACTATTACAAAATATCCCATTCCTTACAACCTGTAGAAGAGCTGGGGAGGATTACACAAATAAAGACTTATTCTTTAAATGTACATTGTGTTTTGTTCATTTCTATACAGCGAGTACACCTTGTTGCTGGATTTCAAAATAACTTTCAAAAGCACAAACATATTTCAAAATAAGCCTTTAAAAATAACAAAGAAAATACATTTTTTTAATAAGAATGAAAAAAATTAATTTTTGAAGTCAAGGAAGGTCTTTACTTAATTCATATCTCTGAACTAAATTTGTGAATCCACACCAATATCATGAATTTTCAAGACTATTGTTATAGTTACCTGGAACTGAAGATAACAGAACACAAGCAGGCACGGACACCACTGTAAGGTGAGACAAAGCATCGTATAAAAGTAAGGATCTTGGACTGGAATTCATCAACATACATGTTGCAGAAATTTTTAGGTATTGTAATCCTTCTGGCAAAGATCTCTAGAAAAAGAGAAAAGCATGACAAGAAATCTATTATATTTCACACATGGTGACAACAGTAATACATAGATTAACTAACAACTTATTTTCTACATGATATATTTAAATACGATATATTACTTGCTAAATTTATGCTGATTTTCAAAACATGAGCTAGACATTATAAATAATGCAGAAATAATGAAGATACACATTACTAATTACTTTGTCTATAATTTTGGAGCATTCTCCAATGTTCCGTGATTTCATATGTGTCAATAACATACACAACAAACTTGAGTAGTAAAATCATTAATTAACCTTAATGTTACAGAGGAAAATAGTTATTACATTTGACTTTAGTTTTCTTACAACACTTCTGAACAATGAAACACTGAAAGAATTACACTATCTTCAATAAATAATTAACTATTCTGAATTTCTCCTCTCTATTATCGATTGTAAAGTATGTTTATCATTGTTCAATTTGGTTTTCAACTTACTGGAAGTTCATCACTTTCCCAAAATAGATGTACAATATTGGACTTCCTCAAGAGTGTTTCATAATTTTCTTTAACAACACCTTTAGTGAGCCACCTAAAACTTCTTAAAGATTTTAATTTAAGCAAATGCATTATTTCTTCATGTTTTAAGTTGAAAGATAATGCATATAAATCCTTTGTACTTTTCAAAGGTGTATGCCTGAAATCTGAATGAAATATTATTAATAATTATAGCTACACTCTGCAGTAAGATACTGTAAGACAGAAAATTATGATTGTTACATGATTGTTGTAACAACTTGATAATGGATGTGAAAGGTTTCCATTAACATCATTGGTGTAGAATTGTCCCCACAGACATAACAACAGCAACTACAGCAATGATAACAATAACGATGACGAACACAACGACGACGACGACCACGACGACGACGACCACAACCACGATCACAACGTCGACCACAACGATGACGATCACGACGACAATCATAACGTCGACAACCACAACGACGGCGACGACGACCACAACGACGGTGACGACGACCACGACGGCGACGACGACCACGACGGCGACGACGATCACGACGACGACGACGACGACGACGACCGACGACGATCACAACGACCGACAACGACGACGACGTCGACGGACAACGACGACCGTCGACAACGACGACGACGGACGGACGACGTCGACAACAACGACGACGACGACCACATCGACGACTGGACGTCGACAATGACGACGACTACATCGACGACGACGTCGACAATGACGACCACCACATCGACGACGACCACGACCACGATCACAACGACGACCATGGCGACAATCACAATGTCGACCTCAACGAGGATCACAACGACCACGACGACGACCACAACGACGAAGAAGACGAAGAAGAAGAAGGCGAAGAAGACGAAGAAGAAGAAGGCGAAGAAGAAGACGAAGAAGAAGGCGAAGAAGAAGAAGTAGACGAAATGGCGGTTTGACCACACGGGAACAACTAAAGTAAAAAAATCTGACAATAAATCCAATACTGTACAAATAATTAATAATGAATTTCCTACATCACATATTTTTGCTAGTTATTGATACATGCAGCAATTTGCAATTCTTATCACTCTTTAACTATTGCCAAATGTTAAAAATTGAAAATGTGAAAATTTGTTAGCTTTCTAGCAAAACACATCTGCTAGTAACTCATTTTAATGTTAAAATTTAAATGTTTTGTAAAAATTATTCTTAGGAGAATAAGTTACATTCTTGAGATAAATTTATTGTAATTTCATCAACTAAAAATTATTTTCTTTAAACAAAATGTATATCAGTCTAAAGATCCTTGTATTTTCTAAAATTTGGATTTTAAAAATGTTAATAGATTTTTTTTCTTTTTTCACATCACATGTTTTCATATCACATGTCCTGTGTTTCATTCACTCCATTGCAGGCATTTAACTAGCCTGCAGTCCACAAACAAAGCCCTTTCCCCTGCTGAAATGCGGCATCAATCTCCACATGAAGCAGCTCATGGAAGATTCCATGCTACCACAACATAAGACTTTCGAATCACTACTACAACTAAATACCAAGTTTTATAAAAAAATAAGGGACATTAACAGGGAAAAGTCATTGTCATAATAATCATCAATACTACAATCAGATATAAGCAGTTAATTTTTTTTAATAATATTAAAATTTCAAATACCAACCTAATAATATACGTGCATAATGAATCCACAGGCAACTCCAAGCAATATCTCGATCACAAGCCTCCCAGACTTCTCTCAAATAATGAGGAACAAATGGTGGCATGTTCAGAATGAGAGAGTTAATGTTGGGAAAATTCAGTTTTTGAGTAAATGTCCATCCTCTAAAGTTCAAAGGAAGGCTTTTGGTCCTGTAGGTTGACACCTGTGGAAATGAATCCCCATTGAACTACCTTGCCATGAATTTCATTATAAGCATTTTTTTCGTACTTACCTCTAATCTCTCAAGAGAAGTACACTTTTCTAACAACATAGGTATGAAGTAAAAGCCAAAACTATTTGTCCAAAGGTTTAAACATTTCAAACACTGTAGCTGTTTACTCAACTCCTTTATGTTAGAAACCTTTATTTTTCGTTCTTGAAATGTCCATGAGAGACACTCAATCTGTAACATATATAAGTAAATACTTCTATCAGTTCATACAACTTAATGTAGGTAGATATTAAGTAATTAAGGTAGTAAGGTAGTTAAGGTAGTAAATAAGTATTAAAGTAATTAAAGTAGAAAATAAGGACTGAAGTTTTGTATTGCCACCACTGCAACTGTTGATACTGAATTGATTTAAATCTTTATTTCTTTCAATAAAACGATTCTATATTAATGTTTTTCAAATACATTGTGTTGACATTCTCAAATTTGCTCGTCACATGTAATTAAATTGTAACTACAGAACACAATCGAATGACAAAGAGAAGACACACCGATGCAAATAAGTTTTCTATAACTGAGAAACGGAAATGGCTATTATTCAAATATTGCTAATCTTGCGATTTCTAAAATTAATTTTTATTTATTTATGTTAAACTTTTACTCATCTTTCAACTATTTTATAGTTTAAATGACGGGAAGGGATTCTGGAACTCAAGCAAAAGTGCGCAGATAATCTTTACCCCTTACGTCACATGCAGATTTTACTGTTTTTTTGACTGAATAAATCTACATCTAAATCATTATGTTTCCATCATTATGTAGAGTAGTTTTGGCAAGTCACCTACACTGGAGGCAATGAGGATTGAGGAAACGCTCTATGGCTTGAGTGTTCTAGACTGAGAGGTCATGAGTTTGATTCCAGACAAGAGCCATAAATTTAAATGATGCATTTAGCATTGGTGAGGTTGTGAAGACTCCACAAATGAAATAGGCCAACCCCCCTAATCAGTCCCAGACAAGTGTTGAATCAGGACCCTAAAATAGGAGCCACAGACCGCAAGCGATTTTTAATTCTCTATCCTGTCTCAATTCTCCATCCATAGGGCCAAACAATAAGCTGATCACCCACACTCGAAAGGAACAAGTCCACTGATCTAGAAAAAATCGCCCTCTAGTGTTGGAGATAGTCCAAGACAAAACTGAATTGGCTCATTAGTTGATGGCACATTGTGATGAACAATTCAAACAAATTCAACTGCCCTAAGTCTGCTTGAGCCAAAGACTAATTCCACTAATTGATTTAGTCACACTGAATTTGATCCACAAAACGCTGTGGGGCACCGCTCATGCGGGATTAGTTCTAGGCTCTTGGAGGATTTGTGTGGTAGTGTACTGCATGTAACTGAACGTGTGGTGTGTGTGTGTGTGTGTGTGTGTGTGTGTGTGCATATATTTACATCCACATGTAAGGGGAGAGGAGGGGGATAAGGATGAGGAAGGATATATTGCGTGCACAAGTCTGTGGCACATTTGTTAGGATACTACCCTGACATTCACCAGGTATTGATCAGAGAAACCCCAGAAAATTACCAATCAAAACAGCCACTTGATAGAATTATCCTCTAAACATTCAACCTAGCTATATTGCTGATATCAGAAATGTTTTTTAGATAACGAAAAAAATTTGCACATTTTTAATTTTGTTTTAATTTGGCGAATATACTAATTTCTCCCTTCATTAATTTGCCTTTTGGACATTCTACCAACATTGGATATTGTATATGTCATTAGGTGATTCAGTAAAAACGTACTGACTGAGTTGGCTCAAAGTAATGTTTCCACTACAGCAATCCTGATAGGAGGTCTTGGAGTTCGCATCCCAATGACGATACTTTTCTGATATCAGCGTGTACAATTTTTTTTCTTTTTCTTAAGTTTACTTCCCTGCTTCAAGAAAAAAAGAAATAGCACCAAAATAACATCATATGATGATTAGAGATTGCAAACAGCAATCATGTCTTTAAAAATCAAAATTGATATTAGCATTTTGACAGAATAGTTTCCGAATAAAGCAAGAGGCCTCACCGATTGAATATTTTTCATAATATGAGTGAGATGTTCAACACTCAAAGTTGTGTCATTGACATGTAAATTCTTCAAGTTAGTAAGACGTTGAAGAATCCAGAGAATTTCACCTGAAGTAAGCCAATAACAACTAGTTAAATTGATAGTTTCCACTCGTTCGCAACGAGCAAATGGTCGAAAAAATGTTTTCATCAAATCCAGAGACACAGAATATGATGCTCTTAAATTTATGCATCTGAAATTCAAGAAGGTGAAGTTAAAAAGAAAAATATTAAGAGATTCCATTCAAATGACATTAAACTTTTGGCCAACCTTATTAATTTACGTTCACATAAAAGGTCATTAAACCTTTTGCATGTACAACTTAATGAAACTGCAGCTTCAGATGTCAAGTAAGTACATATGTTTACCAATACTTCATCACTTAAACTAAGTATATTTCTCTCTGTCCAAAAGGCATTTTGTCCTTCACTTTCATCTTGCATTGTAACGACAAAAATTCAACACCTAATGCAAGGAAAAGCTAATAAGTGAAATATTAATCAGTATCATACAATTATCACACGTCCGAATAGGAATGTCGCACACATCGCACTGCAATGCAGTTTCTGTCAATCGGTGAACTGTACAGGTGGTAAAATTCCGTCAGCAATAGCTATGGATCAAATCATCGAAGACCATCACTTAAAATAAGGAAGATTGGTAATAAAATCTGGGTTATGTTGGGGCACACACGTTTTTATGCTCATTTAATCAACGACCCACAAACTCATGAGCCTGCACAGGGTTATCGCTTTTCACTCAACAAGACGATGTTATTTAAAGAACTTCATTTTTCATTTCATGGAACGAAACAGTGCTGACAGGTGATGAAACACAAGAACAATAAAAGATTGTAAAGCGTATCCGGAGAAAAAGCGCGGACTAATTAAAGTGCAAATGGCTTCGGGCACATCCAAATTTGATTAGGCCTCACTTGAACAAAATTGGATAAAAACATGTTGAAACGGTTGTTAGTATATAACTCAATATATGGTCGCTTCCTATCAGCCCTTGAATAAAAATTACA